TCCGCAGACAAGTCGCGGACAAACGCCCGAGATCCCCAGACACGGAACGCCGACGCATCGCCAACCTTCCCCGTCCACAGCAAAGCTGGGGAGGTCTCCGTTTTGGAGACCTTGGGCTGAAGGTTGATCTGATGCGCGGCGTACCGAACCGCAAACGGCCACAGAAAATGGGGGGCAGCCGCATGCACCATGGACGTACGGGCGACGTCCATGACAATGCTGATGCGGCGCTCAGCAATCCCATTCTGCTGTGGAGAGTCCGGAAGCGTGAAGGTCTTGCGGATGCCTCGTGTCCGACAGTAGGCTCGTAGAAGGCCGGAGGAGAACTCTCCACCTCTGTCCGAGTGCAGACGCAAAACAGGAAAGTCCGAGCCGAAGCTCCGCCTGAGCTGGAGACGAGCAGCGCGGATCCAGTCGATCAACACCTCAGTGACCTCACCCTTGCTGCGCAAGGGGAAGACTGTGGTGTAACGCGAGTAGTCGTCAACCACCAACAGGAAGTAACGCTCGTGACCCTGTCCACGGACGCGGGCTGGACCCCACACGTCCATGTGAAGCGTCTGCATCGGGGCCTCCGTCGGAGGAAACGGGGAGGAGTGAGGGGTAGCCCGCAGGCTACCCTCGACACAGGGGACACAGGGAGGGCCAGGCCCCGGAGGAAGGGGAGGGAGGGACCGGGGAAGGCCAGAGACAAGAAGGCGAGAGGCCATGCCCCGGAGACGAGGCAGGAAGGGGTGACCCATCCTGTGGTGCCACAGGAGGGTCTCGTGGGACAGGAGGCGACACGAGCAAGGGGCAGACTCAGGACCAGACCTGGACGCTGCAGCTAACACCTGACCCGACGCAGCTACCTGACCAGACGCAGGAGGAGGAGACGGAACAGTGAGTGTGTACAGGCTCGACCCTGGACCACGTGTGAATGTGGTCAGGTGTCGACCCGTGTCCGCGTCCGTGCAGTGGGTAACTCGTCGGCGCGCAGAGGTGAACTGGTCAACCCCTGCATCCTGTAGGTCAGCACCCGCCACCAAGTTCGTAGAGAACGAGGGGAGGTAGAGACCGGATAGGGCGCCAGACGGGACCGCAGGGCACGGCAGGATAGTGGAGTAGCGAGCCAGAACAGGACCCCCAGAGGGGTCTGCCAAGGAGACCGCCACTGGCCGACTAAGCGGCGTGAGTGTGGTGCGGTCTCGAAAGAAGGAGCGAGACGCCCCGGAGTCAAGAGTGAAAGTGAGAGAGGGTGAAGTCGACACAGTACCTGAGAGAGCAGACTCACCAGCACCTGAGGACTCAGACTCACGGGCACCTAGAGCAACAGCCTCACCAGCACCTGGAGCAGCAGCCTCAACAGCACCTAGAGCCGCAGTACCAATGCCCGGGTCGGGCGGGAAACACCGGTAACAGTCACCCTCCTCACTAATAGTCACAGCATACATTGCAGCAAGAATAGCATCAAAGTCAAGATCAAAGATAGCTACTCCAGCCCTAGACAGCAGGTCCCAGCGAGGGATCTCAGAGGCGTCAGGAAACTGGCGGCGCCAAGCGTCAGTCAGGCGGCCAAAGCAACGCTGGGTGGAGTGTGGACCACCACACTGCTCACCCGCACGGTCGCCAGTGCGCAGGACGTAAGTGCACGGACCAGTACCCCCACCCCGCTGACGCGCAGAGTACCACTCACGGAGCTGCTGCGGGGAGAGGGTCTCCTGACCACGCTGCTGCTGCTGGCGCTGACCACCACCGGAGCCACTCCTCCTCGGCGCGCCACGACCTCCGCCGCCTCCTCCGCCGCCGCCGCCACCACCTCCACCGCCACCGCCACTCCCACCGTCGCCGCCGCCACCGCCGCCTCCGCCTCCACCCCCACTACCACCGCCGCTGCCGCCCCCGCCTCCACTGCCTCCGCCGACACCTCCACTCCCGCCACTACTCCCGCTACCACCCTCACCTCCGCCGCTGCCTCTACCTCCGCCTCCACCGCCCCCACCGCCTCCACCACCGCCCCTGCCCCCCTTGCTCTTGCCAGAGCGACGTCTCCCGCTGGGGGCAGACGCCGCTCCGACCGACTCAAAACCAACAAGGTCGGCCGTAGCAGCAAAGGCGACAGAGGGCAGGAGGGGGGAGGGGGAACACCCCTCAAAGATGGGGGTGCGCGGGTCACCACCACGAGAGGCCCCTACAGCGAGAATGCTCTTCTCGGCTGCTAGGAGGGACTTCTCGAGGATCTCGACAGTGAGAGTGGTGGGGCAGACTGCGAGTAGGTCGTCCCTGACTCCGCGAAGGGAGTCAGGGAGGCGGGTGACAATGTAGTAGAGAGTGAAGTACTGGGGGGGGGGGTTCTTGGCGCAGAACTCAGCAGGAAGTGCAGCGCGGAAGCGAGCGTCACTAGTGCGTAGGTGGGTAATGAGGTCGGTTACTGTGGCAAAAGCAGCAAGGTCGGGAAAGAGGTACGGTAGCATGAGGCGACTCAGTGCAGCAGTGGCAGGGGTGGAGTAGCGTGCAATAACGGCGTCGTACAAGGTCTTGGCACTCTTGTACGACCCAAAGTGCGCACGCTCAGCGGGAGGGAGGTGGCGACGCACAGCAAGACGTGCAGCAGCATCGCGTGTGGCCCACTGTGAGCGAACAGTGGCATCCTCAGTAGCAGCAGGGGCGGGAGAGGCACCAGAAGTGAGATCAAAGAGAGAGAGTCCGTCAGCTCTGTCGCACTATGGGAAAAGCAGTAGGTCGTCTACCCACACGTCAAAGTCAATGGCTCTGCCCTCAGCGTCAAAGGCGAGGACACTGGGGGTAGCCATGACAGCAGTAGAGAGAGGGCAGTGCGCAGAGTAAAGCTCAGTGCTCACCAGACAGGGCAGTGCAGGGAGGGCTTGGGCGGCTCGGGCGGCTCGGGCGGCTCGGGCGGCTCGACTGCTGGGCGGCTCGGGCGACTCGGCGGCTCGGGCGGCTCGGGCGGCACTGCAGCTGGGGCGGCTCGGCTGCTGGGGCGGCTCGGCTGCTGGGGTGGCTCGGCTGCTGGGGCGGCTCGGCGGCTGGGGCGGCTCGGCTGCTGGGGCGGCTGTGCTGCTGGGGCGGCTCGGTCGGGAGATGCAGGGGCGGGGCCGTCAGGCGCAGCGGCGGGCCGGCAGGTGCAGCGGCGGGTCGACCGGTGCAGCGGCGGGACGGCAGGTGCAGCGGCGGGGCCGTAGGGTGCAGCGGCGGGCCGGTAGGTGCAGCAGCGGGGCCGTCAGGTGAAGCGGCGGGCCGCTGGGTGAAGCGGCGGGCCGGCAGGTGCAGCGGCGGGGCCGTAGGGTGCAGCGGCGGGTCGGTAGGTGCAGCGGCGGGCCGGCAGGTGCAGCGGCTGGGCCGTCAGGTGAAGCGGCGGGCCGCTGGGTGCAGCGGCGGGCCGTAGGGTGCAGCGGCGGGCCGGCAGGTGCAGCGGCGGGGCCGTCAGGTGAGGCGGCGGGCCGTAGGGTGCAGCGGCGGGCCGTAGGGTGCAGCGGCGGGCCGGCAGGTGCAGCGGCGGGGCCGTCAGGTGCAGCGGCGGGCCGGCAGGGCCGCGTCAGAGCCGGCGGCGGGGCCGCGTCAGCGGAGGCGGCGGGGCCGCGTCAAGCAGGCGGCGGGGCCGCGACGTAGCGGGCGGCAGGGCCGCGTCAGAGCCGGCGGCGGGGCCGCGTCAGTGGAGGCGGCGGGGCCGCGTCAAGCAGGCGGCGGGGCCGCGATCAGGAGGGGCAGCGGGGCCGCGTCTGAGGGACAGCGGGGCCGCGAGGGAAATGGCGACCCGAGGGGTCGCTAAAAAAAATGCGCGCCTCGGGGCGCGCTTCGGTGGGCCCTAAAAAAACGGTCCTTAGGAAGGACCCGCTCTATACCAGGTGAAAGAAGTGAACAGGGATGAAATGACTAAGGAAAGATTGGGTACAAATACAACCCTAGAAACCCTGTACCCCATATGTGCTACCCCACTATAGCCTACAGCAACTATGTCATATAAATCTGACAGAGCATGATGTTGGGGTAGGAGCGCTGCCACTGGTCGTCGCACAGAGTGTGGTGTGGTCGTCATAACTTCCGTGGTGTGGTCTGTTTTGTCGAGCTGATAGCGCGACAGTGACTGGTGGGGCCGGTTTTGTAACTATCTCGGGCTAGTGGCCAGATGGGCCTTGTTGTACAGAAACGACACGAAGAAAGTTTGTTTCAGTGCATTTCAAAAAGTACCCTGACGAAACAGGGGAATTCTCGAGGAGGCCTGATTTTGAAAGTGTATTTCAAAAAGTGCATTTTTACAGTCAGGGTCAATTGGTTAATACACTTACTGAATCTGGGCAATCCTGGAAAAGCGGCCCACAGCAAGGGTAGAAAGGGTAAAACACCCTTGAATTTCGGGCCCTGATGTCGGCCAAACGTGCGGAGTCCGAAGATCGGGGCTGTACGCGAAGCAGTCAGCCCCAATAAGGAATTCGGGAAAATTCCTTATAGTGTTAGCTGCCCACAAGTTTATGTGTATAACAAATTGGTAACGATGTAGCACATGGATTCGCCACTTCCACCGCAAGCAGCGGGATCTGTCTGTGACGCGTTGCAGGACCACGTTCTGGCCGTACAGCACGCTTTCACCAATTACCGCTCATCGCCACTGATGTCGGTCGGACTACACTAAAGCTCCAATCCAGACTGCCAACTCCAGCACATAACATAGTAGTCGGCCAATAACCATGCCGGAATGGAAGATGACGCGTTCCCACCGAAAGCTCCTCCAATCATCAGCGTCGAGTCATCCGCCGTGAGGCCTCGTTCACGCTCCCTTCAACCGTTTTAGTTCCTCCTCCGGCTATCGCGGCGGCGATGACCACTTTCTTACTACATAGTCCCTCACTTTCCTCCCGCCATTCCACACGAGTTTCCCTCTAAACTTCCCTGAGTACCCCTCTTTCTTGATCTCCCCTCACGCATCGCTACACCTTGCGCCGCTTCGCTCCATCTCGTTTCTTCTCACCTTCCCCTCGCCAATCGCCCCGTCTCTCGTCGCCATGGCGCGCGGCCCGCGTTCTGCCGTCCAAGCCGGCCTCGCCACGGCCCTCGCTGCCGCCGTCGCACTCGCGCTCCTCACCGCCGCCAGCGCCGCGTTCTTAGGCGACGCGATGGTGGATTTCCGCGGCGTGGGGAACGTCGGGCTGGCCTACACGAGCGCGAATTTTAACGACGCGGTGTGCGCAAGCGTGGATGGCGCAATGAACCCCGCCTTCTTCAACTTCAGCACCGTGGAAGGCGCCGTCCACTTCGGCGTGTATCCCGGCGCCCCCGCGTGCGGCAGCGTCTCCTTCCATTCCACGCGGGGATGCGCGGGAGCTCCTAGCGCCACGTACCTGCGCGCTCCGGCGACGACCATGTGAGCTCGCTCGCATGTGCCGCGCAGCGATCGAGCCCTCCTTTGGAGGCAGCTGCACCGTTGATTTGGAGCCCTCCTTTGCGGCAGTGCGCCCCTCTCCTTCTTCCACGTGTCTCACTCTGATCGCTCCCTGTGCTCCCCTGCCGCCCCCATGCCCCCGCTGCTGCTGCTCGCAGGCGGCTTTTTGTCGCCGAGATGCCAGCGTCAGTCAGATGCGAGACGGGTGAGGTCGCAACTTTGGCTCCGCACTCACTTGCTATGCTTGCTTGATTGAATTCAGCTGTTTCAGCCATTGATTGGTTTGAGTTTTTTTAATTCATTTGCCTTCCCACTTTGCCCCGCCACCCTGCCTGCACAAACGCCCCATGCTTGTCTCACAGGCTGCGATGGGGACTGTGGGACAGCAGCTAGGTGCATTGTGAGGGACGGCCAGGACCAGTGTGTGTGCCCTGGGTCGCAGGTCTACGATGCCAATGACGGGCAGTGCCGTGGTGAGTGGAGCTTGAGGCATGAGGTGAGGGCATGGTGAGGGAGTCAACCCCGAGCGTGTGTGCCCCCGGTGCAAATGAGGGGTTGGACTAATTGGCAAGAACGGTGAGCAAGTGAGGACACACATTGTCTTGTGTTTCGTTCTCCCCAACCCCCTGCAGAAATGTGTGGGTTACCAGGGCCTAAAACTACTTGCATGACACCATTTAGAATCAGGGTGCCTTGCTGTCTTCACCTGGTCTGTCAGACCGAAGTACCGTAGTGTTTTTTCCACCCTGGGGATATCAGGGTAAAATGAGAAACGACCTGATTGTGTATGGGTATTATCTTCCATTTTCTCACAAAGTGGAAAAACGTCAGCTCGAAATTGTTTTGTCAACCTCTTGTGTCAGCCATCTCCCCAAGACGTGGGCAAGAAATATGTGGGGGTGGGGCTGGGAGGGCGAGGGAAATGTGGGAGAGTGGGGCGCTTGGGAAGCAAATCAGTTCTTTCTGTTCTTCCTCTCTGTCCTCTTTGGTGCAGCGGCTTGAGGAGCACCAGCCAAGGGGCTGATGGGACGGCAGGGCCAGCAGCACTTGCATTCTCGAGCCCAGCATCCTCACCATCAAGCCGTAATTGCCTGCTTCCTTCTTCACACCACCAATGCTGCTGCAAACGTTCACATCACACCATTGATAGGCTGCTGCTACCATTCATGCTAGTAACGGGCTAGATTCATATGGGCTTTGCCTGGTGCGTATTTGTGTACTGCTCACAAGTGTTTGACGCATTGATAGGCTGCATTCATGTGGGCTTTGCTTTGTGGGTTTCGTAGTGACTGTATTGTACTGTACACATCGTAGGCGTGAGAGTTTCTTTGTGGGTTTGTGTTTGAATTGTGTTGTAGTGGTCATTTATTGATCAAATGGGTTCACAAACCCCCCGCCCTCACCACACCCTGATCGCAAGCACAACGGGGTGGGCAGCAGGGCTTCGTTTTGGATTTTGCTAACTCACGATTGGCAGTGTAGCTTTTTTAAAAACCCTTCTGAGCAGTGTGAACTTTTTCATTACACTGCCAGAGCAGTGTAACATATCCGTTTTAAAATTTTACCCTGCAACTCCAGTGTGAGATTTTTCCGCACATTGCCACTAATATGTACTTATTAGCTTTAAATCAACTCACATATTTGACAATTTATTTATAATCATTCAATTACTTGCATACTCATCCTCGCTATCAGACTCTAAAACTGCCTTGCCGTTTCCTGCGATGTGCATGTCTGGGACGGGTGTTTTCGCGGGTCTTCTCTTCTTTTGCTTCCGCCAGATCTCCACCACCTCCGGCCATTTGTACTCGTAGTTCAACATGTTGAGGGTCATTAGCTCGGACAAACGCGCGTCTCCAAGCGACGTGCGCATCCAGCTCTTGATGACGTTTTGCCGGCTGAATCCACGCTCGCACTCCACGGTGCTTAGCGGGATCACCGCGAGCGCCTGCCACATGGACACCAAGTTGGGGTAGCTGCGAGGCCAGTCCTTGGTCTTTATCATCTTGGCGAGCCCCTGGTAGAAGTCGTCATCCTCGTAGTGGCGCGACATGACGTGGCAGAAGCTACTCAGTTCAAGCTCCGCCGCGCGGTGGTTGAAGCCTGTCACGTAAACAATCATAACAATCATTTTCTTCTTTAGCATTTACCACCAAGACAACCAAGCAACATCGCATCCAACTACGAGTGACTGCAACGTCAGCAAAACCCACCTGGGAGCCTGTTCATGAAGACACGCGCGTTGGCATCCAGCCACTGCACCACCCGTCGTTCCCGTTTATCTGTCGCATCTGGCCACGACTCCACCTTGTACAACTTGCTGCCGTCCAACTCCTTCAGGCTGTGCATGCGGGTGTGCAGATTTGTCGCCACCTCAAGCGCAAACGCCTTGCACAGCTTGATGCAGTCGGCCATTGATCCGCCATACTTGTGCCCTTTCAGCGGCTCCTCGCTCAGCACGAACTCATGCGATGTTGGCTCGCCCTCCGCATCGACGCCGTCCACTTTGATCTTCCGTTTGCCGTTTGCCATCCGTGCGATAAACGGCGACAGCAAGTTGCTGACTCCCCCTCCGAAAGTTTTGTCGTACTCCACGTAGCGCAGCCTGATGCAGGAAATCGTGCGGTCCACCTCCTGGTGCACGATCGTGATGTCAACCTGAGATGGAGGCGGGATCAACAATAGCAAGACTTCGTTAAGAAATTACTCGATTGGTGCTGTTTTAAAATACAATAAAGCAATCTAGAACACATCACCTACTTTCCGTCTTTGGAAAAACCGGTTCAGGGCGTTGATCTCTGCAAGAAGATCCGCCAAAAAGTTGTCAGATTATCATAGCTGATGCATGTTTGTAGGCTATAGTGGGGTAGCACATATGGGGTACAGCTTTCTAGGGTTGTATTTGTACCCAACTCTGACTTAGTCATTTCATTCCTGTTCATTCTTTTCACATGGTATAGAGCGGGTCCCTCCTAAGGACCGTTTTTTTAAGGGCCCACCCACGATTTTTTTTTCCTGCCCGGAGCGCGCCCTATTCTCCCCGAGGCACGCTCCCCCCTAATGCTTGTCGCGCTGCCCTTGTGGCGCCCCGCGAGTCGCGCGCGCGACTCCTTTTTTTCGCGCGCGCGGCCCGGGCCCCACGTCGCGCTGGCCTTACGGCCGCGCCGCGCCGCCCTCTCGGCTCTGCCGCGCCGCGCCGCCTTCACGCCGGCCGCGCGGCCTCTTCGTCGCTGCAGCGGGCCCCGTCACCTGACGGCCCCACCGTCCTACTCTCGGCCCCGCCGTTGCAACCTGACGCCCCCGCCACTTCACCTGTCGGCCCTGCCGCTGCACCCTGACGGCCCCGCCGTCCCCTGTCCCGGCCCCGCCGCTGCACCCTGCCGGCCCCGCCGCTGCACCTCTGTCGGCCCCGCCGCTGCACCCTGACGGCCCCGCCGTCCCCTGTCACGGCCCCGCCGTCCCCTGTCACAGCCCCGCCGCTGCACCCTGACGGCCCCGCCACTGCACCAGTCGGCCCCGCCGCTGCACCCTGACGGCCCCGCCGTCCCCTGTCCCGGCCCCGCCGCTGCACCCTGCCGGCCCTGCCGCTGCACCCTGACAGCCCCGCCGTCCCCTGTCACGGCCCCGCCGCTGCACCCTGCCGGCCCCGCCGCTGCACCCTGACGGCCCCGCCGTCCCCATTCCCGGCCCCGTCCTGCACCCGAGCCGCCCTGCCGCCGAGCCGCCCGGGAGCCGAGCCGCCCTGCACCCGAGCCGCCCTGCCGCCGAGCCGCCCGGGAGCCGAGCCGCCCTGCACCCGAGCCGCCCTGCCGCCGAGCCGCCCGGGCGCCGAGCCGCCCTGCAACCGAGCCGCCCTGCCGCCGAGCCGCCCGGGAGCCGAGCCGCCCAGCAGCCGAGTCACTGAGTCGCCGAGCCGCCCTTCTGCAGAGTTGCCCGGCCTGCCCTGCCTGGTGAGCACAGTCGCACTGTCACTGCGTGCTCTTCCCCTACTGCTTGCACTGCTTCGCTGTCGTCGTCATGGCTACCCCTAGTGTCCTAGCTTTTGACGCTGAGGGTCGCGCCATTGATTTTGAGGTCTGGTTAGACGACCTGCAGCTGTTCTTACAGTGCGACAGGGCTGACGGCCTTTCTCTCTTTGACCTCACCTCTGGCGCCTCTCCTGCTCCTGCTGCTGATGCTTATCCCACTGTCCGCTCTCAGTGGGCCACCCGCGATGCTGCTGCACGTCTTGCTGTGCGTCGCCACCTCCCTACCTCTGAGCGTGCGCACTTTAGTCAGTACAAGAGTGCTCAGACCTTGTACGACGCTGTAGTTGCGCGCTACTCCTCCCCTGCCACTGCTGCACTGAGCCGTCTCATGCTTCCCTACCTCTTTCCTGACCTCTCTGCCTTTCCCACTGTCGCTGACCTCATTACGCACCTCCGCACTAGTGACACTCGCTACCGCGCCGCCCTTCCTGCTGAGTTCTGCGATAAGAACCCACCCCCCATATACATCGCTCTCTACTTCGTAGTCGCGCGCCTCCCTGACTCCCTTCGCGTCGTCAGGGACCACTTTCTCGCAGTCTGTCCCACCACCCTCACCGTCGACCTCCTCGAGAAGGCCCTCCTCGCAGCGGAGAAGAGCATAGTCGCTGTAGGTGCTTCTCGTGGTGACCCTCGCACCCCCATCTTTGAGGGGTGCTCTCCTTCCCCCTTGCTGCCCTCTGTTGCATCTGCTGCTGCTGCCGACCTGCTTGGTCTTGAGTCGGTCGGCGCGGCGTCTGCCCCTAGTGGGAGACGTCGCTCCAGCAAGGGCAAGGGGGGCAAGGGCGCGGGTGGAGCTGGAGGGGGCGGTGGCGGCGGTGGCGGCGGAGGGAGTGGGGGTGGCGGCGGGACTAGTGGCGGGGGTGGTGGTGGTGGTGGTGGCAGCAGCGGCGGAGACGGTGGTGGTGGTGCCAGCGGTGGTGGTGGAGGCAGCGGCGGAGGTGGAGGCGGCGGAGGTGGAGGCGGTGGAGGCGGCAGCGGAGGAGGCGGTGGTGGTGGAGGAGGTGGAGCTGGTCGGGGTGGTACCCAGCAGCGTAGCGGCGGTGGTGGTGGCCAGCGCTCGCAGCGGCAGCAGCAGCAGCGCTCGCGGGACATCCCTCCGCCTCAGCAGCTTCGTGAGTGGTACGCTGGGCGTCAGAGGGGTGGTGGTACTGGTCCCTGCACCTACGTTCTTCGTTCCGGCGACCGCGCGGGTGAGCAGTGTGGGGGTGCCCACGCTGCCCAGCGCTGCTTTGGCCGCCTGACGGACGCTTGGCGTCAGCAGTTCCCTGGGGCTACTGAGATCCCTCGCTGGGATGAGCTTCTTAGGGCTGGTGTAGCGATCTTTGATCTTGATTTTGATGCTATCCTTGCTACTATGTATGCTGTGACTTATAGTGAGGAGAATGAGGGTTACCGGTGTTTCCAGCCCGACCCGGGCATTGGTACTGCTGCGCTAGGTGCTTGTGAGGCTGCTGCTCTAGGTGCCAGTGCGTCTGCGCTCTCAGGTACTGGTGAGACTGCGCTCTCAGGTACTGCGTCGTCCTCGTCCTCCCTCTCTTTCACACTTGACTCCGGGGCTTCTCGCTCCTTCTTTCGAGACCGCACTACCCTTACGCCGCTCGACCGGCCGGTTGCAGTCTCCCTTGCTGACCCCTCTGGGGGTCCTGTCCTGTCTCACTTCTCCACTGTCCTCCCGTGTCCGGCTGCCCCTTCAGGCACCCTGTCTGGTCTGTACCTTCCCTCGTTCTCTACGAACTTGGTGAGTGGCGCGGACCTGCAGGATGTGGGGGTTCACCAGTTCACTCCTGCGAGTCAGCAGGTGACCCACTGCACGGAGGCTCGCACAGGCCGACACCTGGCCACGTTTACGCGTCGGCCGGGGTCGAGTCTCTACACCCTGACCGTTGAGTCTCCTCCTGTCTCTGCGTCTGGTCAGGTGGCTGCGTCAAGTCAGGTGCTTGCTGCTGCGTCCCGGTCAGGTCCTGAGTCTGCCCC